TTTTTTTTTTTCAGATCTTACCTTCTTTATTTCTTAGAATAACACAGATTTTTTTAGGAAGAGAAGAAATAAACATTTAACCGTATTAAGAAAATCAAGAAATAGCCTATTTTTAAAATATCTTTTGCTAAGACTAGCTAAGTAGCAATTACCTCCACACTCTTAACTCTTCATTAATCAGTGAATGCAAATGTTTCTATAACACTGCAGTCGTCAAAAATATTCTGGAAAAACTCATTTTTAAACTTGCAACAGTTAAAATATACTCGTATACTAAACTTTGTTTTTGCCTGCAGATTCGTTTAAGTTCTTAACTAAAAACTTATCATACGAGTTTCAAGTAGAATTTGATGCTGGTTTAAAAGAATTCTTAGCAAACTGAGTATACAATTCAAGCGCAGTCTTAAAATGAGAAATACCTGTATAATTGCCCAGTTTGAAATTTAATCATGTTTTGAAGTGCTTTATTAGAACAACATCGGTAGTTCTTCAAAATAATCTATTTTAACATCGGTAGTTCTTCAAAATAATCTATTAAGCACTCTCATGTGTTTTGCAGAAGTCTTTATCTACCGCGCCCAAATGGATTACCAGTTGAGATTGAGATGCTGTTGAAAGAATGTTTAAGAGAAAATCCGACTAAACGACCAGAATTTGCAGAAATTTTGACCAGATTTGTTTGTTTTAAGAAATGTTGTACTTTTCAGATTTTTTTAACAAATATAAAACTTCTCCAGTAGAATCCTTTTGTCATTGATAACAAGATAATTTCTTACTGTGATTAAGGCTACTCAGTTTGAAGCTTAGATAATACCAAACAAAGTCGCTTCTTCAGTTTAAATTCTCTAGCTTCTGCTAAAATTTGCTGAAAGCCTGCTTTAATTTGCCCAAAAATTATTTTTTTCTGCTGCATTTTGAGTATTAATGCAAGGAATGTTACAGTTAAGTGTTTTTGAAAAAAATTTTTAAATTGTTATTCACTTTTCTCAAAAATTCTATTATTGCTTAACTCTTTTTCTGAGTACGGCTCGCTTTACTGCCAATCTGTGACTTATAAGACATCTCTAAATTAAGTCTGTAAGAGTTATCTAATCTATTTTAGCATTAACTATCGCTTTTTTGAGATAAATTACCTCAGCCTATATTGTCTAAAGTAAAACCAGCGAATGCTAGAGTCGCCTGGTTTTTGAGCTGGTAAAACGATATCGGTATCTATCATTTTTACGTTTCGTTGAAGACCAAAGTTAGTACTGTTAATTAAAGCGAGACTAGCTGGCAAAACAAATAAAAAATTAGCTCTGAAGTTTTTCAGTAATCGTTGAGTAGAAAGAAACAATTTCTTAGTCTTAATTAGCGAGAAATAGTAAAATAACTAATTTATTCACTAGGCATATGATAGAATACTGCGTCAGCAAAGAAAGTGGAGTTACAATAGTTTACAGCATGCCAATTGACTAAACTCAAAAAAAAATTTTACAAAGCATTTCAGAGAATACTCTATCAGACTAAAACGAAAATTACTTTTGTTTACTAACTTGTCTGTTCTTTGTTAGAATAGAGTGGGTCTGTTTAAAAGCAGAAATCAATATTAACAAGTCAGAAGCTTTAAAAGTGGAGTTTTTTTTCAGTATAAGATATTCGATAATATCAAGTCTTTCATGCAAAAGCGACAATAATTTGCCGATTTTAAAGTTTCAATAATGCTTGCTAGTCAGATAGATTATAATTATTGTATTAAACTGATTTACAAAGCTCTGCCATACAAATATTTAGTTTTAGAATAAGAGAACTAAGTTAGGTGATAGCAGAAACCTCTCAGCCTTTTAATAAAAGATAGTTAAATAACGCTTTTTACAAAAGTCAGTTTTGCTGACACTAAAATAGATAACACTAAGAAAAAAAGCATCTTAAAAAGTTTTATTTTTTTCGAGGACGCGGGCGTAATTATGCTTTATAATAAAATTATTTTTTTCATGTAATTAAGCCAAATAGTTTAACCAGCAACGGTGCTTAATAGAAATTTTTGCTAGTTTTTAAGATTACACGTATATAAAAGTTTTGAGAAACCTCAGCTTTGATTTTAAAATAATAAAACCCTCCTGGTATACCAAAAAATTCTGATAAATTACAGTTTGCGAAGTCATGGAATTTTCTCACCAACCAAGAATGGGATATTTCAATTTCAAACTGGAAGGAACGTGTAAAGAAGGAAGAATCGTCAATACTGAAAAAATGTAGAAAAAAGAAGACTACTAGATAAAAAAAAAAAGCGAGAGCTACGTTTGAACAAATTTTTACTACATTTTGAAGAACTGCCATGAAAACCAAATTACTTGAATTTGTTTAACATAAATATTACTTTTTGCATTCAGCAGTTGCTCTTTATGAAGTCTGAAGTGTAATTATCATCTGTCGTAAACTTGTCAAAAAAAATTGTTTGTAATGTGATATTCGTTACATTAATATTAGTTAACCTTTTTTGACTCACTTCTCTCTGCAGTATTTCATCTAACAGTTGGTTTAAAGTTAGCTTTTCTACTAATTGTTTCTCTTCCAAATGTTACTACACAATTTCTACCGAATGTTATTTCATATGTTTTTTACTATTTTAACAAAGATCACTTTTTTGTCTATTTTTCGCTTTAAATCTTACTTTTATTTGAACTGAAAACTTTGATACGCAATGTGTAATTGATAACTGTTTTCTTCTAGATGTTGAACAAAGTAATAAATACTTGGCATAAATTTACCAAAAAAATTCAGCAATGAAAGCTGAAATAAAGTAAAAAAAGAAAAAATTAATTTTAGCTACATTTCCTATACCAAGTTATGAACGAATTTAACTCTAAGACTTATAAGATGTTTGTTTAATAAGCAAATCACTTTGTAGACTAGAACTTCAATTACTACTATGTTGACTACTTTTCAGATATAAAAAAAAGGTTGGAACAAATTGAAAGTAAAAAGCAGTTAAACATTTTTTCACCTCACGCTCAATTACTTACATTTTAGTGAATAAAATTTTGTTTTTAAACTTTGCTATCTCTCTCAACATTTATTCTGAGTTGATTCCTGCTTCAATTCTCTGAATTGTACGTTTTAAATTGAAAATATTTTTTGTACTTCTTGATAAGATGCTGTCCAGAAACCTAACGGCTGAATCGCTGAATGGAATGTGAAAAAGAAGTGGATAAAAAATGAGTAAATAAAAAGCTTTCGCAGTAGCCCAAAAAAATATAACAGAAAACTGTCGAGTTTTTTGGTACTACAACTACGTTTTTTTTAAAACGTGTACAGAGGAACTAAATCAGTTAAAAGTTTTACAGATTACAGCAGTTATGACAAAATAATACTTATTTTCTGGGGGTTAATCCTTGACTCTCGTCATTCTCTCTGGTAATTAAGAGAACCAAAAATTTGTTTCATATGTGTAATTTTTTTGGATAAAAGTAATCTATAAAGCAACTTAAGTTTAATAATTTTTTTTACAAAAAAAGCTTTAAATTATAGTAACATTGTAACTATATGTTCTTATAAAAAAAAAAAAAATCCAATTTCTTACTGCACATCTAATCTTCTTGTCCGCTGCTTTTTTGTATAGAAGTACGAATCAGAATAAAAAAGATAAACAAATTAAGCACAATTGTTGCTGGTAGAAAGCTTCAAAATTAGTCTATAACTATTCTATGTTTAAATATGTTCTTCTCTGAGTTGCTGAG